CCGAGCGAGGGGTTGGTTGGGGTGCCCCCCCCCCCCCCCCCCGGATTCCCGCCGCCTCCGAACAGCACCCTAAACTCTCCTACATATCAACCCCACCTCTTGCGTGGAACCCGGTAGAGCGGTATCCGACAGTGCCCGAGAAGGGGGTCTGCCACGGCTGATAGCCCGCCCGCCCGGTCGTACACCTGCCAAGGGAAAGGGAAAGGGAGGGGAAGGGGTTAGCCATCGCGACGACGAAACGTGCAGTTTCTGCAGCTGCTGCTGCTGTGAATACGCATGTCTGCTTTGGCTGTCGGTCAAGAAGGAAACACACTTTCGACGAACACGTGCCGATTATTCTGCTGCTGCTGCTGCTGCTGCTGCTGCTGCTGAGCATACGCACGAACAGTTTAGCGATCGGTCAAAAAGGAATGGTATACACACTAACTACACAAGCGCGCCGTTTCTGCTTTTTTTTTTTTTTTCACCTCCAGAACGAGATAGTCCCCGGTGCGGCAAGCGCACGACACCCTGAACAGGAAGTTCTGATCGAAGCACTGGTGCCCTTGCCCGCCAACGCTGCTCGAGCCGGAGACACCGGCCACGCCGATCGCGGCGCCATCTCCCGACTCGAAGGGTGACGGCCGGGGCGCAGAGGTTGACGAAGCGGCAGGCGGCGGCGATTGGGGCACCGGCCGCGTCTTGCCCACCTAACGAACGCGTGTACATGCACGGAAGTAGAAGAACATGATTGTGTCAAACCTCGCGTCTCGCCGACCTAAGGAATGTATGGACATGTCCGGTAGAAAACACAAAAAACATCATGACATTGTCAAAGCTCAAGCCGGCCTCGGCTTGCCCACCCAAACGGACGCCTAACGAACACAATACATGATGACTAACGCTCAAGTTGAATTTCGGGAATCGCCTGCCGCAGCCGGTGTCCGACCTCGATGTGAAAAGACCCCGAGATTGCCGATTGCGCGTTGCAGAAGGGGTGGACGATGGTGACGCGTTGAGCTTGGTGGACGAGACCAGAAAGGTGACCAGTGCGCCTTCGGAGGTGCTACTATCTATCTATATCTATGCACCCTTCGCCAACAACGAAGAAAAGGGCTTCTCAATTGTCGTCGGGAAAGGCGAAAAACTAAAAACGCGGCGACCCCCCCCCTCCCCCTCCCACTTTCACGCCCCGTGTATTACATACCCAACCAAGGTACGCGACGAAAGGAACCACAGAGGCTCACACCATTGCTGCCCCCGGCACCCATGTCTCGGGGTCAGCCTTTCTACCATGACAACAAGTGTCGTTCGACGCGCAGACCACCCTCTCCCCCCCCCCCCCTCCGCCGCTTCCCCTGGCCCAACGTGCTTCCTTTGGAGGGGTGATGATGCGACGGGTAACATGATCTATTGGGCAACATTTTCCGCCATTTCAAGGGAGCCAGTACAACCCCCTCCCTCCCCCCTGGCTTCGTTTCTTCATCTGTTTAAGCGAGTACTTATTGCCCGCTTGACAAATTACTTGTTCCTTTCAACCTTCACTTGCTTGCTCGCCACCGTCAGCCTGCAGTACGGCGTTCTTGCGCGGTTTAGCACGTCTGAGCCGAGCAGCCTTGGAGCTGCCTCCGCGCTGGGGGTGGGGCTGTCGCAGACCGTATATTATTGGGGGGGGGGGTACAGAAGATGAAAATTACATCGATGTCAAGTATCGCAGTATGATAGCGCGGCTGAAGACGACTCAACTGCACACGAGCATGTACGTACGTAGCTGTGCTTCTCGTGGCAAGCCCTAGAATTCCGGAAGCTGATAGGTGTGTGGAGTGTACCCGCTCTGCAGCCGGTTTCTGAGCCTCGGCAAAGGAGAGAGTGGTTTCATACGTAGGAGGCGTGACGACAGCAACAACAACAACAACAACAACAACAGCAGCAACACCAACACCACCCACCAACACCAACACCAACAACAACACCAACAACAACAACAAGCAACATCGCCAGCACCACCACCACCAACAGTCTGCAGTCAACCCCACACTCACGCGGCTCCACCGCCGCCGCCGGCAGCAGCATCATCCCCTTCCCCCCACGTCGCTCTTCCGCTGAAACCGACACCGAACCCCGTCGTCGCCGCCCCCGGTCGGGGAGACGACGGCCCCACCGGCACCGAGGGCGGGGCATCCCCGCGGGAGGCTTGGGCTCTGCCCAAGGTCTCGTGCACGATCACCTTTCGCGCGGAGACGAAAACCAACAAAGGAGCATGAACTTGGGGATCGTATGTAATGTAAGCGCGGTGCTTGGGGATCGTATATAGTGCAAGCGCGGTGCATCACTTTGCAACATGTTATACCAAAACAAAATACGCACGCAATTGTTGGTTGTTCGGTCGTAGATTACTACTGCTGTACTACCAGGTACTCGCCACCACGGACGAAGAACGGACTGATTTTCAACGCGGGATCTTTTGTTATTTCACAGCAGACAAAGGGGGCGGTGGTTCCGAAAACGGCACCGTTGAAGCCATCTCGTCGAGATCTCTACGAAAACTCATCATTTGGGCTTGGCATCCTCCTTCGTCGTGGAAAAAATAATAGAGCTTTGAAAATCGGTCCAGGGGGTGTGATATCTTACGTCACCTCAACGGCATGTATAAGCGTTCAGTGGCAGGGGCCCTCAAGTAGTGCCGGTATATGTGCCGGCCGGATCCATGGGCACAACAATACCGGGCAACCGGCACTACTCCGAGAATACGAGACAACTTGGACATTTTACATCCGTGTCACGAGATTTCACCGGCACCACTATATCGGGGGGAGAACCGCATTCGCGAGAAATAAGTTATTAATCTATGAAACAGAGGGGGGACCTCCGCTGCCTGTACCTCGAAGTGCACGTGCTCGCCAGAGTCGAGGGAAGCCGCGTCCCCTCCAACCAGCACCTTTACGAAACAACCAACCAACGCATCGGCGACAAGGGAGAGCGAGCGAGGGCCAATGATCAGGGCAGGGGGGGGGGGGGGCCGGGAAAATCCCCTGGGGGAGGGAGGGGGGGGAGGGTACCCCAAACCCGGCCTGGGAAAATCCTTAAAACCTTTACCCCCCCCCCCGCACGGAAAAACCCGGGGTTTCCCCGGACCCGGGGGGGGGGGGGGGGGATTTTATTCCCCCCTCCCCTCCGGGCCAACCCGTTTAACAAAAATTAAAACCCCCCACCCAAAGGAAGGAAAAAGGAAGGGGCCCCTTTTCCCCCAAAACTTTGGGGGGGGGGGGGGCAACCAAGGAAGGAAAACCCCCCCCTTTGGGGCCCCCCCGGAACCCAAGGGGGGAACGCCCCCGCCTGCGGCGGCGGGGTAAAAAAAAAAACTCCCGCGTCCCCCCCCCCTGGGCCCCACCAAATTATTCCCCCCCCAAACCCAACA